ACGTATATATCAGGATCATCATATAGACAATTGTATTTCTATCTCGCTAAGTATATATCAGGATCATCATATAGACAATAGTATTTCTATCTCACTAAGTATATATCAGGATCATCATGTAGACAATCGTATTTCTATCTCACTACGTATATATCAGGATCATCATGTAGACAATCGTATTTCTATCTCACTACGTATATATCAGGATCATNCATGTAGACAATCGTATTTCTATCTCACTACGTATATATCAGGATCATTATATAGACAATTGTATTTCTATCTCACTACGTATATATCAGGATCATCATATAGACAATCGTGTTTCTATATCGCTTTCTGTATATTAGGGTCATCACGTAGACATTCTATTTTTCTATACTTATAATCTATTTGAACAAAGTCTCATGTATTTATTAACAAAGCATGCCGAGATTTGACATGCATTATGTTAATTTATGATAAGATTTATGTTAGGAATATGCTAGTGAGGCAGTCATGACTTGACATGCATGATTCACGCTGTTTTATAGCGAAATGACGTAGTATACGTGTGTGTTTACATGTGGTGTATAGAGGTTCCCAATATCGGTAGACTACCGTGTCTAACTCCAGCTCGCTGATCGTATTAATACACACGGTTTGTCGAGGATATCTTTCAATGAAACTATTGCCATGAATCATGGTTAAAAGGGGGACTTAATATCAGAGTCAGATTAAAGGTATACTATATCAGTTACTTTTGCGTTGGAGGATAATAAGTTTTTTCTGCTATAATTGGAGGAAGGATTATTTTATTGTTAAACGTTTTGGACAAAAGATAAAAGATCTCAAAGCAGAAAATAACAAGAGGCCCAATGGGCCTGCATCGCTCACCTGGTATTAATCTCACACTTGTAATCATAAAAGTGGACTAAAATACAGCTACAGGCAGAATATCAGTGGTTGATTGATAAAAACCTATTAAAAGATTTAAACATATGACGCCTGTGACCTTGAATGTGGAACAAGGACATCAGGTTGAAAGTGGATCAAGGTCATTCTTGTGAACAAACTTGGTAGTCCTTCATGCCAGCATGCTACAGGCCCAATATCAGTACCCTGGGCCTTTTGGTTATTGAGAAGTTGTTTGAAGATTTTAAAACATCTGACCCCAGTGAACTTGAAAGTTGGTCAAGGTCATTCATTTTAACAAACTTGGTAGCCCTTCATCCCAGCATGCTACAGGCCCAATACGAGTACCCTGGGCCTTTTGGTTATAAGACATCTGACCCCAGTGACCTTGAAAGTTGGTCAAGGTCATACATTTTAACAAACTTGGTAGCCCTTCATCCCAGCATGCTACAGGCCCAATACGAGTACCCTGGGCCTTTTGGTTATAAGACATCTGACCCCAGTGACCTTGAAAGTTGGGCAAGGTCATACATTTTAACAAACTTGGTAGCCCTTCATCCCAGCATGCTACAGGCCCAATACGAGTACCCTGGGCCTTTTGGTTATTGAGAAGAGGTTTTTTGAAGATTTTAAGACATTTGACCCCTGTGACCTTGAAAATTGGTCAAGTTCATTGATTTTTACAAACTTGGTAGCCCTTCATTCCAGCATGCTACAGGCCCAATATCATGTGCTGGACCTTTTGGGTCGTTTGAAGATTTTACGACATTTGACCCCTTTGACCTTGAAAGTGGTTCAAGGTCCTTCATTTGAACAAACTTGGTAGTCCTTCATTCCAGCATGCTTCAGGCCCAATATCAGTACCCTGGGCCTTTTGGTTATTGAGAAGAAGTTGTTTGAAGATTTTAAGACATCTGACCCCAGTGACCTTGAAAGTGGGTCAAGGTCATTCATTTTTACAAACTTTGTAGCCCTTCATCCCAGCATTCTACAGGCCTTGTATCAGTACCCTGGGCCTTTTGGTTATTGAGAAGAAGTTGTTTAAAGTAAAAAGTTGACGACGGACGCCGCACCATGGCATAAGCTCACTTGCCCTTCGGGCAGGTGAGCTAATAATACTGAACATTAATTGATAGTAAAAAAAATACAATCGAATTTTCACATTCATTTAATTTTTTAAAAAATGCAGAAGCATCGTTAAATATACTTGCATCGTAATCGCCTAACTAATTAACAAATATTATCTCGTTATTACGTGTTATACTATGTCGTTATTACGAATTACGTTATCTAAGTGAACCTGACGCACTTAAATGAGCTCTATAAATAGACACACATGCTGTTGATACCCAAGAAATACATAAGACAAAGACTTAATGCATGTAATGTATCATTGTCTTTCAAAAACTTTATATGAAATTTTCATATTTTTCTTTAAAAAGTGTTCCATTTTGGGTAGCCTCACCTTAGAACTCTGAAGGTAAATACACATGAGGTTTGATAACCATGCAACTTATATTTGCTAATAAATGGAGTTAAACGCAAAGTGTACCCAATGTGTGATGGACCTACAAACAGATAGGGTGAACACACTCCGCCCATTTTGTGGAGGGTGCATACATGATTGAACAGTTAGAAACCTGGTTTGAGTGGTCAATTTCGGCACCTACCACCTCTTACGTAAACCAGCTGCTAAGAGCTGTCGGAGTTATTATGTGTACCATACCTGAATCGCGACAAGAAGACATGTACAGTAGGTCCTGCTCCATGGACTTAACAGCCGCTACTATGTTCTCAAATTGGTCATCGGTCAGAAACTCTGCCCTCCCTAGTGCCACATATCTCCTCAAGTTTTGTAGTCTAAACAATTACATCGATGTGAATAATATGACCTATCAACAAAATATCACATTAAGTTTCAGAACTAGTTTTATTTTTGGAGGTATGAAATTCCCAGCTGTCTTCGCCTGTTTCCGCAACTAAATTTAATGAGTCCATTACACATCCCTGGTCCCGGGTTTCTGAGAAAATTGAAATTTCGTCAAAATAATCTTGGCACAATTACCTACAACTTTCCAATGTATATATGTGTAAACTAAAAATCTACGTTTTTTTTTGTTGTTGAGAAAATGAGCATGCTCAGCCGTTTTTGTGGAAATTTGCAAATTCAGATTCTTGCCATGTTTCATATGTTTCATTTTATTTGTATCTAGTGACCGTGAGCTTCGACCTCATGACCTTGAACAATATATGTACCAATTGCATTGTCTACAACTTACTGCTAGTTATTTATAAACAAAAAGTTAGCCATTTTTCAGTTAATAAGCTAGTTTCATAAAATATTAACCAATGCCATCTGCTTATAAAATCTACGTTAAAATCACGGAATTAGATTATCTAAGTCCGTGGTTAAATACAGATACACTTTATATCATCTGGAAGAGCAAAAAATCACGTTTTTTAATGGTATATGTAGAACTGCTGTTTGACAATATATCCTCCAATAGGAGGAGAATACTCAATCGCAACTGGGAGAGTACCTTAATTCCGCGCATGCTCAGCTTCCACTTCCTCTTATCAACGAGCCGTCGGAAGTAAACAGAGTTTGGATGTAGGAGCTAGATTTTCTTCTCTTCCGTGTTTACATATATGCTGTACGAGACGTAGCGTTTAGTCAAGGTATTTTTCATGATGATTTCTGTTCTACAGCAGACTCAGTACACCATAGCGACTATCGTTTGCTTTCTGTTGATCATGTTCACCGCAGAGCATGTGCAAAGTCAGTGCTTGCTTGCCCGATCACTTTTCTGTCCACCATATCGGGACACAACTACAGTAACCGGTATAAATCATAATGTTAATTCGTGTATAGTTGAGCTGTAGTTACGCACCGAATATGTTAGATATATCGAGATGGGGAGGCTGATCGAAACCATGCTCAGAGGTTACTCTATGAACTGACCCCCCC